AGATTAAACGAATGCCCAAACATGCCTGAAATTCTTTGAACAATAATTAAATGCAAAACCCACATCAAATTCGATTTTCTCCCTTTGTAATTACATTTCTGACACCCGAAAGCAATTTTGATTAGTATCTCATCCAGGTATGAAGTGCTCACCAATCAAGAGAAAATGCTCAAAATATCTCCCGGTTTAAATGTCAACGAGTCTGAGCACTTCACACCTGCTCTTCCATCTCCACGGCATACTAACACATGACATTTATACTAAGTCACACTCTGCCATTCTGAATATTGCATTTTTCTACTTTTTCACCTGCATGCTAAATTAAAACAGAGACTTCATACATCATGGGCCATATGGTGACATTTCAAGAAAGCCATTATTAATATCGGGAATTGAAGACATCGTTTTCATTAAATCATGAATTAAGGTGAATCATATCATGATTATTGCAGAACTGCTAATATATCTGGCTCTTTTATGATAAATTGGTGGGGATTTTTCTCATTTGAAAGTCACTTTGGATAAAAGTCTTAGCTAATGGATTATAGGCCTATGTAAGATGTATGTGATGACTACAGCTATTTTGAAGAGTGAAAAATGGAAAAACAAAAATTTCTTTTGTCTTTTTATTGTCCCAGTCTTTTTTTTTTTGATGTTGTAAAAAAATCACTTTTAATACATTCAATTCATTTTAAGATAAAACATACAAAAGTTTTTACAAAATTATTTGTGTATTTATTTTAAAAAGGGCTCCATCTTTTTCTTTAGATATGAACCCATATATAAAGAAAAATTATGATCTTTTAAATTTGACCCAAAAATATTTTATATTTGAAGAGTTCAGATGCAAAAGCCTCTAAATGCCATTTGAAATTTTCTTCTAAAATGACCATTTTTATCAAGCTTGTATACTTGTATATAAGTTCAGTAATTTCACTTATCATTTTAAAGGTGCAGTAAGCAATTTGTGAGAATCACTGTTGAACACTGCTGATATTTGAAATCAACCCAAAGAAACACACAAACATACCATGAAAGAGAGATTTCTCTTTATCATAGCTGAAGCAAAGCAAAATAATGCTTCATGTAAAATAAAGCAAAGATAACGAACGAAAAACAAGGAGGATCAGAAAATGAACACACAGTACACAAGAGCATGAGTTTGGTTTTAGTCAGCAGCAGCTCCAGACAAACAATGACACTCAAAACTATCCTGTTCCAAAACACTCAAAACTATAACTCTTCTTTTTCCAGGGACATTCCTCCAGTAGCACCTCGTTGCAGTACAAGAGATCCAGGGGGCAGAATTGAATCCAGATCTAAGAGGTGGAGATGGGTAGGATTAGGGGTGGGGTTGGGGATCAGGGGGCAGAGATGGGTAGGTTCAGATATATGTAAGGTAGGAGGAGTTAGATCTGGATCTCCTCCTGGATTTCGTGTTCTGCAGTGAGGACCATCTCCATTCCTCTGACCTTTTATCTTCTGTAATGTCTCTCAGAGATCTCCCTTTCTACAAACTTCTTCAAATTCTTCTTCAAATTTCCTTTCTTCAAATCTCCATCTTGCTCACTCTCTCTCCTCCCCCATTATGAATGGACACGTCCCCTCACTGGTGATTGGCTCACTCTTTCTCCTCCCCCATCATGAATGGACACGCCCCCTTACTGGTGATTGGCTCACTCTTTCTCCTACCCCATCATGAGTGGACATGCCCCCTACTGGTGATTGGCTCACTCTCTCTCCTCACCAACATGAGTGGACACACCCCCCTTCTGCTGATTGGCTCACTCTCTCTCCTACCCATCATGAGTGGATAAGCCCTCTACTGGTGATTGGCTCACTCTCCTCACCATCATGAGTGGACACGCCCCCTACTAGTGATTGGCTCACTCTCTCTCCTACCCCAACATGAGTGGACATGCCCGCAACTGGTGATTGGCTTACAACTCTCTCCTACCCATTTTGAGTGGACACGTCCCCTACTGCTGATTGGCTTACAACTCTCTCTCTTACCCCATCATGAGTGGACATGCCCCCTACTGCTGATTGGCTAAGCGTGTTGAGCTGATCGGTCCGATCCACTTTCTCAAAAGCATTTCTCAAAAATCACATAGGCCGTGTGCCCACCAAAGCGTTTTTAGTCAGCTGAAAACGCCTAGCTGTGGGCGCTTGATAACATTTTGGCAGCACAGCGGTTTTTTCAGTTGAGACGCTTTGCTTGCTATGATATGGAATTTCCACGGAACTGTTAATAGTATCTCATTTCAAAGATAGTATGTTTCTGTGTTGTTTCTATATAAAAATTCCAATACAATGTAACGTATTTGCTCTGGCTCTTGTTTAAAATTATTTTGTTCCGTCATCATACTTCTAGTTATCATCTGTTGACGTTGAACAAGCAAAATGTGACAGTTGTCACATCATGTCAGATGACAGATGTCCCACCCCTCCTCTACTGTGATTGGACAGCTGGGTAAAAAGTGACAGTGTTGAGTGCTGCGTTTTACCCAAAGTTAAACATTCTTCAACTCTCGGAGACCGGTAAAAAATGCCGAAGCGCAAGCTCAGCACCTCGTTATGCTCCTGTAGTTTTAAAAACGTGGCGTTCCCAATATAAACAACTGGAAATATAGTAATACACCAGCCGCATTAAAAAAAATGCTTTGGTGGACACAGGGCCTCACTGCACCTTAAAGTGTACGTTTACACAACAATATGTTCAAAAAAATGGAAATTGTTTTCCTTTTTCGCGTAGAGACAACAACATTATCAAAACGATCCCCATTTAAATGGATCTGCGAATAAAACACTGTAGCTATTATTCATGCCAGGCCACTAAGTTGGCGATGCCACTTTGTAAAGAAACACTACATGCCTGTAAACTGAACACATAATACGCGCGACGTCACATTTCAAAATTTTGCACTTTAGAACAATTTCAGACCTCCAAAACAGCGGTTGTTGTTTTTTAGTTAAAAAAGGTGTTGTGTAAATGGCCCTTAAAATGCAATTATCTCTTATCCCACACAAAATGTGTAACTCAATGAATATACTTTTTATCATACATTTTAAATTCAGAAAAAAAGTTCTTTACACCCATTGTATTCCAATCATTAATTCCGAAGACTTTTTAATACTTTTCAATGTGGGTCAAATTCGACTCAAGAATCACAGGTGAATGAGGATTCTTGGAGGTTTAGTGAACTAACTGGGAAGGCAATGACTATCTTGAAACCTTTCAGAATGTTATGATTCATCTGTAAGAACCTCTCATTTGTGAACGGTCAGACAGGTAGCCTACTGCAGATACACAAGAGCGTGTAGAAGAACCTCCTTATCCTTACGAGATCTACAGGGATGCAAGTTTGTTTGAACTGTGGTTTCACTGGTGGCTGTTGCCATGCCAACACTCATCTCCCTGATTCTTCCTCTATATTGAGTGCGATTGCAATGCAGAGTGTGGTTCACCAATCACAACCATGATACACAACACATCTCCGTCCAGTTAGAGTACACTCTTTAACCGTTTCCTCGCCTATGGGGTGTTCAGAACCGCCACACCACTCTGAGAAAACTAAACTGGCCCGCTTTGAACTTCTGAAAGTTCAACGTATTTATTGGCAGTGATAAAGGATACATCACAATTGCACACTCTTGCAAATACTGTACTTACTAACAGACATTTTAGCTATCAGACCAGCACTGATTACATATTTAAATGCACTTTCAGATGCTGACAGAACAGAAATCAACTATTGACAAAAGTCAGAATTTAATTTGGATGCATATTGCACACAAAATATCCTATTTAAAAATAAATAGACCAAATGCACTACGGAATACAATTTTGTCTGTTCTTTTAAAAACTCTGCAATGCTAAAGGCATACATAAGCATTCTTGGTGCATGAATTTGGGAATATTTTTAGGAAGCCAAATGACTTTATGCAGCTGAAGCCTTGGAGGCTGTTGATAACAGCCAAGTGCAGCGAGTTGTGAAATATTAATGTACCAACAACTGCAATGTCAATTCGATACCAACTCCTGAATCTCAAGATACAATCAGTGCCACGATATTAATGAAGCAGCACCTGCTAAACACTGATAATGTCATGCCATCTAAAATTAACATCTGGTACTTATCTATGTTTTAGTCCTTGAACATGAAATATTTGAATACATTAAAACACTCCGGGCAATGATGTTTCTAGTTCCTAAAAGTACTCAGCAAAACCCCTTGAAAAAATATTTATTCATTGTACATGGTTGAAAAACACCTTTCCTGATCAAATGCAATTAAACTAGCTAAAATGACACTGGGAAATTAGGTTTATCTAATTCTGACATGAAATGTATTAGAATATTGACATTAAATATATTAGAATATTTCTGAGAGTATTCAGTAACTTGTACAGTATGCTATTGTATAGTATGTTCGCAAGTGTATGGTGATAAAGCCAATTTCATTGTCATGCAAAACCAAAAACATTTCCAATATACATATGCTGGGACAGTTAAATTGAAATGAATTATATCTAAAAGCAAAACCAAAAATAATATATATATATATATATATATATATATTTATTATATATTTATTATATATTAATTATATATTATTAATTATATATTAGCGATATATTAATTACATTATATATATATATATATATATATATATATATATATATATATGTGTGTGTGTGTGTAATATTTTTACAGTGTATATATATATATATATATATATATATATATATATATATATATACATATGTGTGTGTGTGTGTGTGTGTGTGTGTGCTGATTATTTCAAACTATGAGAAACTCCATCACTGATGCAGATGATGAATTATCATGTCATAACTGCAATCTTGAAT